ATTTTCCATAGACGGCTAACTGTACACAAAATATATTAAAAGTCCGATCGGCCTTTTTCCCTTGGCAGCACTCATATGCTGAAAGAAAAGTACCAAGATATTATATTTATAAATGTTGGAAATGGTGATTGTTTAATAAGAGACAATATAAAAGCATGGACTGAAAATATCAATACTCAAGAAATATATTATATTATCACAGCTGTTCAAAATGCCACTAAGAATCTTTGCGATGTAGTAGTGAAGTTAAGGAACGAAAGGATGCAAAGAGAAATGAATATCCCAATTAATGATATCCAAAATGCGGAAAAATTTCATTGTAAGTGCCAATATAATAAAATAGAATTTCTTTCGTCAATAGAGCAATCTTTCAAATTATTACTTAATTATAGTAATCATAATGATGACTTCATTAGAGGCAATATAACGGATTTTTATTAGATAATTTACCATTTAGTATATTTCCTAAACTATTACGATTGTTCGAACCTTTAAAACATATCGAAAATGTCGCTATAAGAAATATCACAGATATGCTAATTAATGCAATTAATATTTTAAATGAGATTTCTCCTCAATTAACTATGTCGAACGAGCTTTCTCTATTTAATATAGAACATAAGGCGCTTGAATTATTTCTAAAATTTTTAATCAAATCACATCTCCACGAGATTGTGGGTTCATTTTTAGATCCACGTTCGAAGCCTAATGTTACTTTACACGTAAGTTTTGTTAACATTGTTATAATCAAAAAATCACAATTAATGTAATTATTTTCATACGATATATTAGGAGGTGCCCAAGGAATTTATACTAAATAAATGTCAAGCCTATTATTCACAAATTACCTGTTCTTTTGGTAATAATTTGGATAAATCAATACAAGAATTAGCAAGTGAAGAATTGGAACGCTATATTAGTCTTCCACGATTTCCGTTTAGTGAAAACTTTGACCTATATAAATGGTGGAAAGATTCAAAACATATATTTCCTGGTTTAGCTACTCTTGCAAAGGAATATTTACCTTTGGTGTCAGATAACAAAATTACATTAAATAATCTTAAAAAATTTTATAGTGTTTATCAAGATGAAGATACAACAAATAAAATAGCTTTTTTAGATTGTAATTTGAAATACTTTACTTTCTGATCGCATAT